GTGAGTATGAGTGTGTACTGTGTGAGTATGAGTGTGTACTGTGTGAGTATGAGTGTGTACTGTGTGAGTATGAGTGTGTACTGTGTGATGTGAGTATGAGTGTGTACTGTGTGATGTGAGTATGAGTGTGTACTGTGTGATGTGAGTATGAGTGTGTACTGTGTGATGTATGAATGTGTACTGTGTGAGTATGAGTGTGTACTGTGTGATGTATGAGTGTGTACTGTGTGAGTATGAGTGTGTACTGTGTGATGTGAGTATGAGTGTGTACTGTGTGATGTATGAATGTGTACTGTGTGATGTATGAGTGTGTACTGTGTGATGTGAGTATGAGTGTGTACTGTGTGATGTGAGTATGAGTGTGTACTGTGTGATGTGTGAGTGTGTACTGTGTGATGTGATGTATGAGTGTGTACTGTGTGATGTGATGTATGAGTGTGTACTGTGTGATGTGAGTATGAGTGTGTACTGTGTGATGTGAGTATGAGTGTGTACTGTGTGATGTGAGTATGAGTGTGTACTGTGTGAGTATGAGTGTGTACTGTGTGATGTATGAGTGTGTACTGTGTGATGTATGAGTGTGTACTGTGTGATGTATGAGTGTGTACTGTGTGATGTGAGTATGAGTGTGTACTGTGTGATGTATGAGTGTGTACTGTGTGATGTGTGAGTATGAGTGTGTACTGTGTGAGTATGAGTGTGTACTGTGTGAGTATGAGTGTGTACTGTGTGAGTATGAGTGTGTACTGTGTGATGTATGAGTGTGTACTGTGTGATGTGAGTATGAGTGTGTACTGTGTGATATGAGTATGAGTGTGTACTGTGTGATGTGAGTATGAGTGTGTACTGTGTGATGTGTGAGTGTGTACTGTGTGATGTGATGTATGAGTGTGTACTGTGTGATGTGATGTATGAGTGTGTACTGTGTGATGTGATGTATGAGTGTGTACTGTGTGATGTGAGTATGAGTGTGTACTGTGTGATGTGAGTATGAGTGTGTACTGTGTGATGTGTGAGTGTGTACTGTGTGATGTGAGTATGAGTGTGTACTGTGTGATGTGAGTATGAGTGTGTACTGTGTGATGTGAGTATGAGTGTGTACTGTGTGATGTATGAGTGTGTACTGTGTGAGTATGAGTGTGTACTGTGTGATGTGAGTATGAGTGTGTACTGTGTGATGTATGAATGTGTACTGTGTGAGTATGAGTGTGTACTGTGTGATGTATGAGTGTGTACTGTGTGAGTATGAGTGTGTACTGTGTGATGTGAGTATGAGTGTGTACTGTGTGATGTATGAGTGTGTACTGTGTGATGTATGAGTGTGTACTGTGTGAGTATGAGTGTGTACTGTGTGATGTGAGTATGAGTGTGTACTGTGTGATGTGTGAGTGTGTACTGTGTGATGTGAGTATGAGTGTGTACTGTGTGATGTGAGTATGAGTGTGTACTGTGTGATGTATGAATGTGTACTGTGTGATGTATGAGTGTGTACTGTGTGATGTGAGTATGAGTGTGTACTGTGTGATGTGTGATTGTGTACTGTGTGATGTGATGTATGAGTGTGTACTGTGTGATGTGAGTATGAGTGTGTACTGTGTGATGTGTGAGTGTGTACTGTGTGATGTGAGTATGAGTGTGTACTGTGTGATGTGAGTATGAGTGTGTACTGTGTGATGTATGAATGTGTACTGTGTGATGTATGAGTGTGTACTGTGTGATGTGAGTATGAGTGTGTACTGTGTGATGTGTGAGTGTGTACTGTGTGATGTGATGTATGAGTGTGTACTGTGTGATGTGAGTATGAGTGTGTACTGTGTGATGTGAGTATGAGTGTGTACTGTGTGATGTATGAATGTGTACTGTGTGATGTATGAGTGTGTACTGTGTGATGTGAGTATGAGTGTGTACTGTGTGATGTGATGTATGAGTGTGTACTGTGTGATGTGATGTATGAGTGTGTACTGTGTGATGTGATGTATGAGTGTGTACTGTGTGATGTGAGTATGAGTGTGTACTGTGTGATGTGAGTATGAGTGTGTACTGTGTGATGTGTGAGTGTGTACTGTGTGATGTGAGTATGAGTGTGTACTGTGTGATGTGAGTATGAGTGTGTACTGTGTGATGTGAGTATGAGTGTGTACTGTGTGATGTATGAGTGTGTACTGTGTGAGTATGAGTGTGTACTGTGTGATGTGAGTATGAGTGTGTACTGTGTGATGTATGAGTGTGTACTGTGTGATGTGTGAGTGTGTACTGTGTGATGTGAGTATGAGTGTGTACTGTGTGATGTGAGTATGAGTGTGTACTGTGTGATGTGAGTATGAGTGTGTACTGTGTGATGTATGAGTGTGTACTGTGTGAGTATGAGTGTGTACTGTGTGATGTGAGTATGAGTGTGTACTGTGTGATGTATGAATGTGTACTGTGTGAGTATGAGTGTGTACTGTGTGATGTATGAGTGTGTACTGTGTGAGTATGAGTGTGTACTGTGTGATGTGAGTATGAGTGTGTACTGTGTGATGTATGAGTGTGTACTGTGTGATGTATGAGTGTGTACTGTGTGAGTATGAGTGTGTACTGTGTGATGTGAGTATGAGTGTGTACTGTGTGATGTGTGAGTGTGTACTGTGTGATGTGAGTATGAGTGTGTACTGTGTGATGTGAGTATGAGTGTGTACTGTGTGATGTATGAATGTGTACTGTGTGATGTATGAGTGTGTACTGTGTGATGTGAGTATGAGTGTGTACTGTGTGATGTGTGATTGTGTACTGTGTGATGTGATGTATGAGTGTGTACTGTGTGATGTGAGTATGAGTGTGTACTGTGTGATGTGAGTATGAGTGTGTACTGTGTGATGTATGAGTGTGTACTGTGTGATGTGAGTATGAGTGTGTACTGTGTGATGTGAGTATGAGTGTGGGTTCGAATGTGCTACAATGCACAGGTAGGGGTCAGGCGGCAACTTCCGAGAGGTTCATCTCTCATTTCACCGGCAGTTGTGGGGATCAAAGTCAGGTCATCAGACTTGTACATCAAGCATTTTTATCTGCTGAGTGTGAGCCATCTCACTGGCTCCAAGCTTTTTTATTTGGAAACCCGAGCATATGGGTCTTAAATGTCCTTCTGTCAGCTTGCAGTCTGGACATGTAATCAGTCACTGAAGAGTTCCTCCCCAGTTCAGGGCTCCAGTGTTCCACGGCTGCCTGGACCACCATGCCCAGAAGGGTTGGAGCCTCTAGTGTGTCCCCCCCCCCCCCCGTTAATCCCAGACCTATTTGCATCGAGACATGTGGATAACACTTCAAATTGTGTCTGCTGATTTCAAAACTGCCAAGATTCCCCCCTCCAAGCTTTATTCTGCAGTGTGATAGGAATTGCCCCGTGTGTGTGTGTGTGTGTGTGTGTGTGTGTGTGTGTGTTGGGAATAGTAACTTTCACTCCAGGATTTGGTTTTCCTAGGGACAGTTATGTGTGTTATAGTTAGACAGAGTTGACCCAAAGTACACACAGACTGGACACTTAGTGTGTCCCCTTCTACACAACCATATACACTAATTCTTTGCTGTTTTTTTCTAGGATTACATTTTTCCTCAAAAACTTGAAAATTGGGCTGGAGAGATGGCTCAGTGGTTAAGAGCATTGCCTGCTCTTCCAAAGGTCCTGAGTTCAATTCCCAGCAACCACATGGTGGCTCACAGCCATCTGTAATAAGGTCTGGTGTCCTCTTCTGGCCTGCAGACATACACACAGACAGAACATTGTATACATAATAAATAAATAAATAAATAAATAAATATTTAAAAAAAAACTTGAAAATTACCACAGGCTGTCAAAGGACCAAGACGGGGAAAAATTAGAGAATTTGTCCCTGCTTCCCTCCTTCAGTGGTCCCATGTAGCCCAGGCTAGTCTCAAACTTACTATCTAGCCAAGGGATTACTTTGACTTTCCAGTTCACCTCCAGAGTGCTGGGATCACAGGCGTGGCCAGCACACCCAGTTTTTCCAGTGCTGGAGAAGTAGCCCAGCATTATCAACTGAGGTACACTCTCAGCAACTCCATTTTTCTACTGGAATAAAACCTAAGCTACTTTTTCCTTGTGCTCTGAATGTTAGTGTTTCCTATTATAAACAAGTTCTGCCCTCCCTCTTCCAGCTCAGTGGAGGGCAGCTTGGGACCCAGTGACCAAACAACTTGTTGGACTCGTTAATTCTGATTAATAACCCACAACCCTTAAATAGACCTTGGAGTCCTCAGCCCACCCACACCCTCTCTAAAGAATTGTGACACATGTCATCTCAAGCTTCGCCAGGCCACATCTACAAAGGTCACGTAAACACATATGCACAAGGAGCCACATGATTTCCTTCTTACAATTTTTGGTGAATGACTTGGCTGTAGTTCATACCGAGGGGAACGGATGGCTGCGGGACATGAATTGGGGGGGAATTCCTGAGGGCAAGGCAAGGGAAGGATGAGACCTTCGAGCTGGATTAGGCACAGCTGGAGGACCCTCCGCAGTGAGGCCACGGGGATGGGGCAGCGGCTGAAACCCTTGCTTCAGAGGTCGCCTAGGCAACCCTAGTAAGTGGTTGCTGGTAGCAGGGAAATGGAGAGCTGTTGGGCAGCCCCTTCTCCCAGACCAAGCCTCGTGCCGCGCGGGTCCATCGTCGGGAGAGTGGGGCCTCCGGTGGGGTGACAGAAGTCAGTTTTCCTGCGGACAGGTTTATCTATTCGAAAGCACAGCGACCACAAAAACCGAAAGCCAAGGTTCCCTGGCCTCTGATGCCCAAAGACGCAAGGCAGCCCGAAGCTAGCCCCGCCTCGGTTTCGTTCTAACCTCACCCTCTCACGATCACCACGCCCCAAACCATCGAAGGCTCCTCCCAATCCAGACAGTGACTCCGCCTTCTAAAGGCTCCGCCCCCGAACCGCCCTTTAGCCCGCCCCGACCGGAAGAGCCGCAGCACAAGGCACTTATAGGGCCGGGAATGGGGGTGTCGCCGTCGCTCAGTCAGCTCCGTGTCCTCCGTTCCTCCGCTGGTGCCGCGCTGTCGTCGCGGCACCCCCGCCCAGCCCTCTGTCCACTACGTCCCCAGAACCGGCCGGCGGAGCCCGGAGCCAGGGCCGCGTCCCCGCCATGCCGGCCCAGTGGCTATTACTCTTGCTGGCGCTGCTGCTACCGCCGCCCAGCCCCGGGGTGAGTGACCGGGGGAGTGCGGCTCGGGGACGGGCGGGCTTGTGGCCGGAGGCGAGTCGCGCGGCCGTGGTGGCTGGCGTCCGAGCCGGGCCGCGGCGGCGGCGGCAGCGCCGGGAGGCCGGGCGCCTTGGTTGAGGCGACAGCCGGAGGCTTGGCGGCGGGGTGAGGCGGCCGGCCGCACACAGGCATCCTCCTCCCCAGGCGCCTCCGGGGCCAGCGCGGCTGAGGCGGCCAGCGGCTCCGGGGCTCGGACGCGCGCGCGCGACGGCTCGGGACTGTCTCCCGAAGGCCCGAGCCCCGGGAACGCTGCCCACCTGCCCCGCCGTCTCCACAGGTGGGCGCCCGCTCTGCCGCCGGGGCCTCGAAGGACACCCGAAGCCGGGCGAAGCTGCTGGTGGCTGGAGTTTTGAATCTTTGCTCGAAAGTTTTTAAAAATGCGACTTTACGAAACGAATGCAGCTGGGAATTGGGTACGGCGGGTTTTTGGTTGGTTGGTTTGTTTGTTTTTCCCAGCTGCTGGGCTCTGCTTACCTGCCCCGAAGGTTTCTTTGTTTTCGGAGGCAGGGGGCTTCCTGCCAGTATTTTGGTTTGCTAGTAAGCTGTGGGCATTGGACCCTTTTAAAGACCCGATGTGTGGGCCAGAGTTGAAGTCACTTCAAAACTTAAAGCAGTGTCACGTGTGGGGCCGTCAGAAACGTCTCATCTTTTTGGGCCCGGTTTATATTTATTTGTTTCTTTATCCACTTAGGGTTTGGACACTTTGGCTAAAGAGGACATTTTGTGGGCGGACATGGCCATTTTCATCTTATAGTTGGAAGAACTAAGGGCTTAATTTTTTTTTTTTTTTGTTAAGAAAAACACACTGTTCAGGATGTAGGCATGGCGCATTTATACTGGTTCTGTTTAATGACCTCTTTGAAGGTACCGTGTTCCCTTTAATACGGCATATCGTGTACCAGGTGTCCTGGTGGAGGGTTGGCATGTGTGGTGACCCGCGGGCCAGCCGCGTTGTTAACTCTGGCGAACTCTTTGAACTCTTATGCCTTGTAGGTAAATAATTGTGCTCACGGAGTAGCAAGAAATTAGAATTTAGAAACTATTGAAGTATTAAAGAAGGTCTGCTTTTTCAAATTCAAGGTGTTTTTTTCTCCTCAAAGGAAAATTTATATATATGCATTTTCATAATGGCAGACCGTAGGTGTTTTGGGAGGATTGTTTTGTTTTTTCTTTCCTAATTAAAAAGAAAAAAAAATCTACTTTTCATTACTAGGATCACCAGGTTTTGAACTTGAACACTTCACGTTGGGTTGGTTGATTGCTGCCTGGTATTTGCTCACAAATAAGAATATAAATAGAATGGCTGAATGTTCGATGTGGAAATTGATCATTTCATATTTTCATAGCGGATGTATATGGTTTTCTTCCCCACAACTTTGTGTTTACTCTTCTTTCACTAGATTCTAGTGTTTTTGTCATTCAGCAACATAGGGTAAAGAGCCAAAAAATAACTTTATTTTAATTTTAGTTTATGTCAGTATTTTCGAGTATGCTCGGGAACCCAAACTTGTCAGAGTTCATGGGAAAGATTCCAGACCCTTATCAAAGGAGGTTTTACTGTAACTTTTTTAGATGAAAGGTCAAATTTCACTTTTTCTTCTAATAAAAGATTTCAACTCCAAACATGGTAAGAATTAGTATTTTAAAATTTGAAGTTAGAGCAGAACTCGTACTTAGAGTAGGCAGCAATGACTTTGGGCAGAATGCAGCAGCTGTTAGACAGACCTGAGTTCTAACTGATAACTTGCTAGCTAACTGTGTTCTCCAGCAAGCTATTTTTCTTTTTAGGGACTCCGTTTCCTGATGTGTGAAACGGGGACAGCTAGTGCTTGAGAAGGCAGATACCTTGCTCATAATAGATAGTGAATGTGTGTTCTCTATCTCCCTGCAAAGTGCCTTTTACTCTACATCATCTAAGTGCTGTGCTATGCCTTCGCGGGGATTTTTTTTTTTTTTTTGGTACTTTGTTTTGATTGATGAAGTAGCTAGTACATTGGAAGCAATGCTGTGATTTTCTTTCAGAGTGTTTTTCACTGAGCCAGACACTGACTCATTATTGGTTGAGACACTAGGCTACAAGATCCAAAATGCAGTAATGTCCTTATTAGTAAGTCCTGAAGGCTGCTCTTGCCAATCCAGAATGTTTCCCCTTTTTTCCTACCTTATATCTGATATTAGTTAATTTTACATGGATGCTACTTCACTCAATTATACTCAAAGGCATGTGAGACCAAATGCTTTTGTTTAAAAAAAAATTAGCGTGTGGACGTGGTAGTATACACCTTTAATCCCAGCACTTGGGAGGCAGAGGCAGGTGGATCTCTGTGAGTTTGAGACTAGCCTGATCTACAAAGGGAGTTCCAGGGTAGGCTCCAAAGCTACAGAGAAACCTTATCTCGAAAAACAAAACAAAAAAATTAGCTCAGCTAATTTTTTATTTAGTCAGTATTTGGCTTGATGGGGGTCAAGAAAAAGACACTGAGAACCAAGGGCCATATGTGTAAGAAACATGATGTGCCTCTGAGAGATAAATCTCAGCCAAAAATGGCCTTGTTTATCATTTTTTTTGATAGTCGTTACTTGCATGAATTATCCTAGTAGGAGACATGGAGCTATTTATTCTGTGGCTAGGAGTAGTTGCTTCATTGCTGATGATATCAGGATTGTTGATATGAATTTAAACTGTAGTTGTGCACACCTGCATGTTTTATTAATTCAGCTAGCTTCCCACAGCTTTCTTCAGCAAGATAGTGTTTCAGAACAGCAAGAAACTGTATATGAGACTTTCTCTAAAGAAAGAGCATTTATGGTCTGGAGATATGGCTCAGCAGTTAAGAGCACCCAGGTTCAATTTCCAGCACCAACATGGTGGCTCACAACCATCTGCAACTCTAGTTCCGGAGGATTCAACACCCTCATACAGGTAGGAAAAACACCAATGCACATAAAAGTAATTTTTTTTTTTTTAAAAAAGAGTATTTACTGGTCTTATAGAGGACCTGGGTTTGATTCCCCAGCACCCATATGGAGACTAAGAACAGCTTAATTCCAGTTTCATGGGATTCAGCATCCTTTTCTAACCTCTGAGGCAACAGGCATGTATGTGGTACACATATACATACATGTTGGCATATATGTATATGTATATATATCAATAATAAAAATAAAATTTTTAAATTTAAAGATAGAGTATGATCCTGAATAGGAATCCAGTGAGCCACGTAAAGGTGTCGTCACACTGTCTGGTGGCACATTTTCACCTTCATGGATCTAGGGGAGGTGGTTGCTTCAGGTTTTCCATGCCATTTTCAGGTGAAGACTCATTGAATGTCTATTTGATTTTCGTTGAAATTCTCCTTGTGTTTGAGATCTAAAGTCATCTGTAACTTTAGTATTTTGTGTGTGTATTTAGTTTTTTCGAGACAGGGTTTCTCTGCAGCTTTGGAGCCTGTACTGGAACTAGGTCTTATAGACCAGGCTGGCCTCCAACTCACAGAGATCTGCCTGCCTCTGCCTCCCAAGTGCTGGGATTAAAGGCGTGCGCCACCACCGCCCAGCTCTATTTTGTGTGTTATAATGATCAAATATTTTCCCCACAGAAATGATATAGAGGAGAAACATTTAATGTCATTTTAATGGATTTAGTTCATATTATTTTCAGATAATTTGGAGCCTGTCGCCTAGCCAAGATGATCAGAGAGTGGTGCTGACTTAAAAAAGAGGGATGGTGACTCATACTCTGTGAATAAGGGTGTTGGTTGGCTGTGTCTCCCGATGCTAAAGATTGTGCTGTGGCTTTAGCTTTACCATATTCCACAGGCTCGCCTGCCTTAGAGTGACATACTGCAGAGATGTGTGGATGAGTACACCCTACCCTTTGGGGAAAAGTAGAAATTAAAAGCAAATAATCATAAGGCTGTTACTTACATTTCTTCTTAAAATTTTAACCATCATCCATGTAAAGATTTGAGCGTTTGTATCCACCTACAGGTTGGGGGATGGAGTCCTGATTGATTGGGTTGGAAGAGCACTGAGCCATGGTTTGCCTAGCAGTTGCCTTGCTGGAGTTGTGGGGTTGTTTCCATTTTCCTAGTCTTACAGGACAGGTGTATTGCCTTTGATTCAGCCGTGTATGTTAACATGGCAAATTTTAAAAAACTCAAGATGAAATTAAACCCCCTGTATAATCACTACAAATCAAACATCACCCCATTAACATTTTCAATAGCTTTGTGGAATGATAGTTCACTCATTAAAAAGTTTAATCCTATAGTTTTTAGTGTATTGATAGAATTGTACGTTTTCCACAAATAATTTTATTCATTAGTTGTTACTCCCTTTTCCCACCTCAACCTCCTGTTCTCTACAGTACTAACCTACTTTCTATCTTAGTACATTTGCTCGTTTTGCATATTTCATATGAATGGAATCATGTAATACTTGTGTCTTAAAATTAGCTTTTTTGATCCATATTCTGCCCCCCCCGTTTATATAGAACAGTATTTCTTTCCTTTTAGTTGCAGAATAATATTTCTGTCTGTGGACACACCACACCTAGCAGTCGATGGCCATGTGGCTTATTTCTACATTTGGGCTTCTATGGAGGTTGCTAAGAACACTTAAGTGCTAGTTTTTCTTGGTGTAGAACTGCTGGAGCATGTGATAACTGCATATTTAACCTTTTGATGAATGGCCAGCCTCATCACTATCTTATATTCTCACCTGCAGTGTACATGGGGGCACTCACCGTCTTTTCTTATAGTTCTCTAGTGGGTATGAGTGGTAATTCATTGTGGTTCTGATATGCATTATCTTGATATTCTTTCAGACATTTTTTTCTGTGTACAAATTTACATAGATAATGTTTTTCTTTCCCAGACTGAAACACAGATATCTCTCTCTCAGTAAATTTAATTCTGTAATATCATACTGTCTACATAGTA